GGATGAGGCATCCTTTTGTACAGACCCAGAGCACCAACGCACACCTAAAACCACCTATAAGATCAGATCAGATCAGATCAAGCGGAGGCGACCTTGCGGGCCTTCTTGGCGGCCGGGGAGCGGACGGTCTTCGGCTTCGCCTTGGCCTTCGCCGCGGGCGACTTCTTGGCTTTGGCGACCAGCTTCTTCTTCTCGGGTGCCTTGCGCTTCGTGCCAGCGGCGGCGGCCTTCTTGGGCTTCGCGGAGGCCTTCTTCTTGGGCTTGGCGGCGTCCTTTGCGGGCTTCGCCGCAGCCTTGGGGGCGGCGGGCTTGGCCTTGGGCTTGGGGGAGTCCTTCTTGGCGGCGTCGGAGAGCTTGTAGGAGGCCTTGACCTTGACGAGCTTGCCCTTGGCGGCGGAGGAGCGGAGCTGGACGGAGAGCATCTTCTTGAAGTTGGCCGGGAGGGCCTTGCCGTGCTTCTCCTCGATGAACTTGGCGATGGCGACCGAGCTCGACCCGGTCCTGTCCTTGAGAGCCGCGATCGCCTCCTTGATCATCTGCGCAAGATCCAATCAGCCCAATCGCAATCAAAACCATTCAATCAGAGGGGGACACATGAGAGGCTCGGACGCTCACCTCGAAGTAGGTCGGGTGGGCGGCTCCAGCGGCGGAGGTCTTCTTCGGCTTCGGCGCTGAGGCGGAGGGCTTGGCCAAAGCAGTCATGGTGGCTAGTCGAAGAAAATATCTGAAAGGGAAACTGCTACGTGTGCGGTGTGCTCTGCTCGCTTGCGGCTTCAGAAAAGAGCTCGAGAGGTGGATGGATTCGAGAGAACCGGGTGGAGGCTCGTATTTATAGTCACGGAGGGGAGCGATCCGGGAGGGTGGGAATGCTGCGATCTCATTGGCTGGAGGGGGAGTGCCGCGGATTGTGAGTGCGAGAGAAGGGGCGGGCGAACAGCTCAATTACCCCCGCGAGACTGGGTTAAAATTGGAAGGGAGGCTCTATTTGTCATGAGCCTGAAAAGAAAAACAGTTGCATCAGTGGCTTTTTATACGAATTGTCAGATCTTGATCCAATGGTTCAAAATAGATCACGCTACTGTTCATCATTTTCTTCCCTTCCTTCTTCCTTCTCCTGATCCCCCAGCCTACCCCGTCCTAATCGTCGGTCTCCATCACCCGTGGCCGGCGGTTGCTACCACGCACCGCCTCACCCTCCCCCACCGCCATTGCTAGCCATTGCCTCGGCCATCCCTCTAAGCCCGACACCATCCATAAGAACTTCCGGCGATCCCCTGCACCCCCATCCCATAATAAGATACTCCCTTCGTTCCAAATTACCCGTCGCATAAATGGATGTATGTAGAACTAAATATATCTCGATACATCCATACCTGCGACAAGTAATTCGAAACAAAGGGAGTAGATAATAAGGACACTATTTCACCCTAAGATAAAATGGTGGGGCTAGTTCTTCTCCGGCGAGGTTCGGCCAAGAGGGAAGGAAGAAGGAAAAAAGTGACTAATGGGAGAAGAAATTCCAGGCACCTGAGAAAATAGCAAATCCGAACACAATACAAAACACCAAATGGCGGACAAGTTTCACACTGAACCTTAAAACCGAACACTAAATAAACCGCCAAATCGTTTAAAACATTTTTCGGCTTTCGATCACAAAGTGCCCAACCCTAGTCGTAACTATTCATATGATTTTCAAGAATTCGCCATAGGTTAGTTTTCATGGTCATATGTGTATGTGATCTTTACGGATTTTTTCAGAAATTACGAATATTTTTAAAGTTTTAGATATTGCGTAATCCCGTTAGATCCCTGCAAGGGGTTCCTTATGGGGCGGAGGGCATAGAGGATCATATTGGGGTACACACGACACACGGATTTCCCCTGGTTTTACTGAAAATAACGTTAGTCTGGGTTAGTTTCATTCAAATCATGCAAAAAAGAGTTCAAAACAAGAGCAAAAGTGTTCGGAAAAATAGATACGTTTGAGACGTATCAATGCACTACTCCATCTAAAGAACCACTCCTCAATCTTGGCCAGAGAAGACAAATAGATAGGAAAGCATACATACCTATTTAATTGTACAACAAAGAAAGTTCAAAAGTTCAATAGGATTTAATGAATGATCTGATCATGAACTCACAATTCATCTTGTCACAACAAACACACCAAGGAATTGCATCAGACTGATCCCAATCACACAAGGAAGAAGGGGAACATGGTATTGAAGATCACAAAAGAGAGACGGAACCATCTAGCTACTACTATGGACCCATCGGTCCTAAGGGAACTATCCATGCATGGTCATGGAGGCAGTAAGGTGATGAAGAGGCATCTGACAGTGGCTTCCCCCTCCGTCATGGTTTTGGAACAGGACTTCAGATGGCATCTCTTCGGAATAGAGGCATGCGGCGTGGGTAAAAGTCTTCTAGAGGAACGACGAATGGTCTCAGTATCTATATGAATTCATGGCGGTGGAATTAGATCAAGGCGGTGCTCAGGAGCCCCGCATAGACAGGTGGCGTGGCCACCCCCTGCCTGCGCCATGTGTCCATGATGACCTTGTTCTTCAAGCCGAAATACTTGCTCGGGAACGAGCAAAACTCTAGGCTCGGGTGATCCAAAAGGGGGGTCAATAGAAGGGCCATGCCACGCCATAATCTCGACCAAGGAGACTCCGACATTAACATTCATCATGAGTACCCCCTAGTCATCTCTTTGTAAATACCAAACCCAAGGTGGAAACCTAAGTATGTTACCTTGACTGTTTGTTCATGCTTGCCATGATTAACCTAGTGATGATTGTCGTTTCTATGTTTGAGTTACACCCTGTATGTTGAGGTGTTGAACAACGATAAGATATATAATCCTCCTTTGCATGTTTGAGTTAGAATTCTTCATGAATGTTGTATAAGGTCGACCACTCGACATTTAGCCTATGAAGGATGTTACTATCGTTGTGATGTTGGCATGCGGAGGTAAAGAGGTGACTAATATCCTCCATTTCTTTCCTAACCAATTGATAGGGCAATAATAGAGAATCACCCGTTGTCCGCGTCCATTGGGTAACCATTAACCATCGTCATCGTAATCTGTTGTGGCGAGGAATGATAGTGGCGGGTGTGATATCGAGCTACACGAGTAGCACGTATGTTGTACCAGGCTTCACCCATTTATAAAAATATGCAAGGTGACTTAGTTATTTAAACCAACAACTGTGCTTCGCGCATATATTACGTTAGACACATACTACTGGGGAATCTATACTCCACGAGAATGCATTAGAGCTATTTATTTCATCGCTTGCATTTATCCTCTCTCACTTTTATTTTACTTTCACACTTTATTTTGATATGCCATTCACTCACAATATTTTAAGGTTTCGTCTATGCTTTTCTTTCGATGGTGATTAACTTGCAGGAGGTAAGATCATTTCCTATGCTCCCGTCAGATCGATACTACTCTTAATTCACAAAGTTGCAACTAAACTTTGTGGACTTGCAGATCATCAACTACCAGCCGCTCTCCCACTTGCTCCAGTCGATAGCAAGCACGCGAGGAAGCCAGGTGGCTGGCAAGGCCCTCAACAAGGTAACAAGGAAGAAGTCGTCCACACAGATGCCTTCTACACGTCCAGTGTCACGCAGGCATTCTCTAGCATCGCCGACCCCACCCATCACCTCCTGCTTCGCCACCTATGACTACCGCAGCCTTCGACGAGGTCCATGCCCACGATATGTGTCATGAAATGCCCGAGGGGTAAAAAATTGCACTTCTCTTTTTTAGCTAGGGATTTTGGTAATGCAATGTGGCGACAATCTTGTGATGTGTTTGTTTTTGATGATTTCATTGTGGACAAATACGATGTTGCAAGTTTTTGTCTCAATTGAATGTCTTTTGGATAAAGTATGTGCATATTTAAATTAAATTTGGATCGTCCTAATGATGGATGAAGAGCATGATTGGTTTGCTAGTAATATTTGGCTAGCCAAATATTGGAAATACCAATACTTGTCAACTATTGGCAACTTTGTGTGAGTAGGCAAGACAAATAGACACCAAACCAATGATGGATGAACTACCGTGCAATCGTTTAAAATGTGTGTGTAACAAAGGATGAAACAAATAGTATTCATTTAGGAAATTAAATATAGGGGGTTCCGTTATATCCGAGCACTTTAAGAATGTCAAATGGAGAGGTTTATCAAATTTACTCAGTCGAACCTGAGTAGCGAGACACGCTGCCACACACGGTTCGCACGGCGTAACGCGGCGATTTGTCCCTGGCAATTGCTGACTGCTGTGATTCTCTCCCTAGTCGCCGATGCAGCTTGATTAGCGCGCAGCTGCAACCAACAGCCAACGGTTCGTGCGGCATCAGCCACTCGCAGCTGCTTGACAACAGGGTATTTGCCACGCACCCCGTCGTGTTCCCGTTCCCCTCAATACGACGCACGGAGAAGGAATCGTACCGAGGGATAATAATAGTGTATCTCCCGATTACATTGCTCAGTTTCTAAGGCATACCCTACCTGATGAACTGGGAGAAGAACAGAACTAACAAAGGAATGGCGAACAGAGATTTACAATTTAAAACTGGAAGGTACATAAGCAGATGCAGGGGATAACCAGAAGCAAAACAAGGACCAAGCAACAGGCAGCGCTATTCTCCAAGATCAAATTGAAGATGAATCCCCCAGCGACCTTAATAAAACTGAAGTAAATAGGGATTGGGTAACAAACGATCACAAGGCACAGAGGGTGATAAAACTGAAGTAAATAGAGATTGGGAAATTGCTTGTATGGAGAAACTGCAGATTCATTTCACAGAGTTAGAGCTGAAAACATCTCTAAAGCAACCATTACATTACACTAAACACCACCCACGATACATAAACTTGCCTAGCAGAACCGAAACCTAAACAAGGGAGGATGAGGCATCCTTTTGTACAGCCCCTTGAACACCAAGCACTCCTAAGACCAGATATCGGATAGGATCAGATCAGGCGGCGGCGACCTTGCGTGCCTTCTTGGCGGCCGGGGAGCGGACGGTCTTCGGCTTCGCCTTGGCCTTGGCCGCCGGCGACTTCTTGGCCTTGGTGACCAGCTTCTTCTTCTCGGGCGCCTTGCGCTTGGTGCCAGCGGCGGCGGTCTTCTTGGGCTTCGCGGCCACCGTCTTCTTGGCCTTGGCGGCGTCTTTGGCGGGCTTGGCCGCGGGCTTAGCCTTGGGGGAGTCCTTCTTGGCGGCGTCGGAGAGCTTGTAGGAGGCCTTGACCTTGACGAGCTTGCCCTTGGCGGCGGAGGAGCGGAGCTGGACGGAGAGCATCTTCTTGAAGTTGGCCGGGAGAGCCTTGCCGTGCTTCTCCTCGATGTACTTGGCGATGGCGACCGAGCTCGACCCAGTCCTGTCCTTGAGCGCCGCGATCGCCTCCTTGATCATCTGCCAAGATCCAATTTCAAAAACCAATCAGGCCCAATCGCAATCAAAACCATTCAATCAGAGGTGAACACAGGAGAGGCTCAGACGCTCACCTCGAAGTAGGTCGGGTGGGCGGCTCCAGCGGCGGCCGCCTTGGGCTTGGCGGCGGCGGGCTTCGGCTTCGGCGCCGCGGCGGCGGGCTTGGCCGGGCGGGCAGCGGGCTTGGCGAGGGCAGGCATGGCGGCTAACGGAAGCGGAGCTCTGAAACTGAAACTGACGCTGCTACTTGCGCGGTGTGCTCGCTTGAGATTTCGAGAAGGAGCTCGAGAGGTGGATGGATTCGAGAGGACCGGGTCGAGGCTTATTTATACACGCCGAGGGGGTCGATCCGGGGTGGTGCGAATGCTGCGATCGCATTGGCTGGACGGTGATGCCGCGATCCGCGAGAGAGGGGGCGGGCGAATCGTGGCCGTCGGATGGTGGGGAGGTGGGATGGAGCCAGGATCAGGGTGCGCCACCGAAAGCGGGAAATGGATTACTATCTGTCAACAAAAACGCTGGGTCAAGGGTCAGTGAACTCGGTGCGCGGTGGACCGGTGCGCTGGCGAGCACCCTCCGTGCGAGAGGGATGGGTTGGGCGCTGAAACCACCCCCCGGTGTTCTGTGGAACGGGTGTATGGGGGAACAGTGAGAGGCTGTTGATTTGTCGTGGTTTCAGGCCATCGGTTGCCAATCTGGATACGGGTGTACGTGTGCTATTCGAGAGCTTTCGAGTTTGGTCCATTTTTTCTTTCTTTGTTTACGGATAGCTTTCGAATTAAGTATTGCTGTGCACAGTTCCGAAATTCAATTTTTAAACAAGATGTACGGCGGAATGTTGCAAGTTTTTATCGACTTTAAACCATGTTTGACAGTGATGATCTCGTACGACATCAAATTGATGCCCGGCTCCAATTTGATTGAAACCACGATTGTGGCACCAAGCTCATAGTTAGGTCTCCTGATTCAAAAATAATTCATACGAAATTTGGATAACTCAAATTCTCAAATTATTTCAAAAAAAACTGGAACTTTCTTATGATGGCCTTGTATTGTACTACTAGTAGTATATATATTGTGTTATGATATGATTTTCTTTATGAAATCTATATCTAATATTAAAAGGCGGTGTGTTTCTTCCCTTTTTTCGTTAGTCCTAAATTTTCGTCCGTCATGTATTTACAAATGAGTAAAATATGCTGGAAGTTTTAAAAGTATTCCAAGTGTGTCAAGTAGGTCTTGAAAATTTGAAATTGTTCACATGGTTCTATATGTGTATTTTACGCATGACTTTTAGGACCTACTTGACACACCCGGGATATTACCGCGATAAATGACTTATACGCATTTAGGACCTGCGGTGAACGATTTCAAATTTTTAGGAGCTACTACTTGGCCCACTTGAAATACTTTTAGGACCTCCAATGTATTTTACTCTTCATAAATTTGCACGTGTGCCTGTCTTTATAACTGGCCTATGTGGTATTAAGGGCATCTCCAACGGCAACCCATAAATTTTCTCCCGCATCCGTCCGCGGACAGGGGGACCAGTCCACGAACATGGATGCGGGAGGTAGCCATCTAATCGTAGATGTATTTTGTCCGCCGGTAAATTCAAATTCAAATCTATGTTGATCCACACAACGCGCCGGATCACACCTGCGCCGGATCGCATCCCCGATCACAATCAAAAGGAGGCAAATATGCTTAGTTTTTACATGCCCGAATCCAAAAGAATAACAGTCCGATAGTCCATGCATTTCTACCCTCCCGGACCGACCATCCCAGCAAGTTGATTCCCGATCAAGGAGGTGTCGTCGCTGTAGCGTAGGTAGCCTCCGCGTCCGCCTCTCCTCCGCCGCGTCCGCCTCTCCTCCGTCGCGTCCTCGTCTTCCGTCGCCATCAACTCATCTTTCTGTCGCTCCAACATCAATCTCATAACATAGTGGATGATCAAGCCCAAATAAATTGACTCGATTACATGACAAATCTCATCCAACTCCATCATCGTCCAGCAAGCCTACGAAAGAATTACTCACTTCCGATGGTGAGCATTATGAAATTGGTGATGAAGAAGGGTTGGTTATGATAATGGCGATGAATCCCCCTCTCCGGAGCCCCGAACAGACTCCATATCAGCCCTCCCGATGAAGAACAGGAGGCGGCGGCGGCTCCGTATAGTAAAACACAATGAAAATTCTTCTCCTATTTTTTCTTAGGGAAACGAAAATTATAGGCTTGAGATTAGGGTCCACATGGGCCCCACAAGGTAACAGGGCGCGCCCGGGGGGTTGGTCGTGCCTTGTTGCATTGTGGGTAATAGGTGGCCCCTTTGGTGGGTCTCGGATCCAGTATTTTTCATATATTCCATAAAAAATCTTCAAAAAGTTTCATCTAATTCCGATAACTTCTATTTCTGCACAAAAACAACGTCATGGTAGTTCTACTAAAAACAACGTCAGACCGGGTTAGTTTCATTCAAATCATGCAAATTAGAGTCCAAAACAACAGCAAAAGTGTTTGGAAAAGTAGATACGATGGAGATGTATCAATGATTAGTGTGAATAGTAACTTTTGAATCAATAATGTAAGTTCTGTATTTGTCACAAGCAAACACAACTGCTAAAAATTCTTTCTCGGTAGTAGCATAATTTTTCTTGGCAATGTCCAAGGTCTTACTAGCATAATGAATAACATCCAATTTCTTATCAACTATTTGACCAAGAACAACACTTATAGCATCATAAGTAGCATCACACATAATTTCAAAGGGTAAATTCCAATCAAGTGGTTGAACAATAGGGCAGTTAGTAAGGCTTTCTTAAGTGTTTCCAAGGCTACTACAAAATCATCATAAAAAACAAATGGAACATCTTTTTGCAAAAGTTTAGTAAGACGCCTAAAAATTTTAGAAGAGTCCTTAATAATCATCTATAGAAACCAGCACGACCAAGAAAAGCTTCTTATACCTACATTTTTAGGACATGACATTTTCTCTATGGCATCAACTTTAGCTTTATCTACCTCGATGCCTCTTTCAGAAATCTTATGACCGAGGACTATACCTTCGTTTACCATGAAGTGACACTTCTCCATGTTCAAAACGAGACTAGTTTCTTGATACGTCCATTTTGCATCATGCTTTTATATCGATATTTATTGCATCATGGGCTATTATTACGCATTATGTCACAATACTTATGCATTTTCTCTCTTATTTTACAAGGTTTACATGAAGAGGAAGAATGCCGGCAGCTAGAATTCTGGGCTGGAAAAGGAGCAAATATTAGGAGAAGGAAAGGGGAGGGGTGGCCCCTCCTGCCTTTCCCTCCTCAGGAGAGAAAGGAGAGGGGGGGGGCACCTCCTCCTTCCTTCCTCCCGCACTCCAAATAAGGAAGGGGGCGCCACTTGGGAAGGGACCACAAGTAGGATTCAACCTACTTGGGGGCGCCTCCTGGCTGATCCCTCCTCCGCCTATATATATGTGGGAGGGGGTGCCTAGCATAAATACAACATTGTCTTAGCCGTGTGTGACGCCCCCCTCCACCGTTTACACCCTCGGTCATATTTTCTTAGTGCTTAGGTGAAGCCCTGGGGAGATAATGTTGGAAATATGCCCTAGAGGCAATAATAAAGTTGTTATTATTATATTTACTTGTTCATGATAATTGTTTATTATCCATGCTATAATTGTATTGACCGGAAACTCAAATGCATGTGTGGATACATAGGCAAAAACATGTCCCTAGTAAGCCTCTACCGGACTAGCCCGTTGATCAAAGATGGCTATGGTTTCCTAGCCATGGACATGAGTTGTCATTTGATAATGGGATCACATCATTAGGAGAATGATGTGATGGACAAGACCCAAACTATAAATGTAGCATATGATCGTGTCAAGTTTATTGTTATCGTTTTGTGCATGCCAAGTATATGTTTCCTATGACCATGAGATCATGCTACTCATTGACAATGGATGAGTACCTTGTCTGTACCAAATGTCGCAACATAACTGAGTGACTATAAAGGTGCTCTACAGGTATCTTCGAGGGTGTCTGTTGAGTTGGCATGGATCAAGACTGGGATTTGTCACTCTGTATGATGGAGAGGTATCTCAGGGCCTACTCGGTAATACATCATCACACTGAGCTTGCAAGCAACGTGACTAATGGGTTAGCCACGGGATCTTGTATTACAAAATGAGTAAAAGGACTTGCCAGTAACGAGATTGAACTAGGTATGGAGATACCGATGATCGAATCTTGGGCAAGTAACATACCGATAGACAAAGGGAACTGCATACAGGATTAGCTGAATCCTTGACATCGAGGTTCGACCGATAAGATCTTCATAGAATATGTAGGAGCCAATATAGGCATCTAGGTCCCGCTATTGGTTATTGACCGTAGAGGTGTCTCGGTCATGTCTGCATAGTTCTCGAACCCGCAGAGTCTACACACTTAATGTTCACGGGACGGATCATGATTGGATCGTGAAGACGTTCGACTACATCAACCGTGTTTCTTAACGCTTCCGCTTAGCGATCTACAAGGGTATGCAGATGCAATCTCTCCTCTCGTAGATGGTCATCTCCTAGATTAATCTTGGTGAGCGTAGGAATTTTTTGTTTCCCATGCAACGTTCCCCAACAGTGGCATCATGAGCTAGGTCTATGCGTAGATGACATCATGAGTAGAACACAAAGGATTTGGTGGGTGTTGATATTAAGATTGCTTCCTTCCTTGGTATTTTCTTGATTTGGCAGTATTGTGGGATGAAGCGGCCCGAACCAACTTTACACGTCCATGTACATGAGACCGGTTCCATCGACAGACATGTGAATTTGTTGCATAAAGATGGCTGGCGGGTGTATGTTTCTCCCACCTTAGTTGAATCGGATTTGATAAAGGCGGTCCTTGTAGAAGGTTAAATAGCAACTTGCATATCACCTTGTGGCTTTGCGTAGGTAGGAATCGTTCTTGCTAGATACCCATAGCAGCCACGTAAAACATGCAACAATAATTAGAGGACGTCTAACTTGTTTTTGCGGGGTATGTTGTGATATGATATGGCCAAAGACATGATGAGATATATTTGATGTATGAGATGATCATGTTTTGTAATAGTTTATCACGACTTGCATGTCGATGAATACGGCAACCCACATGAGCCATAGGGTTGTCTTTAATTATTGTATGAC